CCCCCCCCCCCGCTTCTGTCTTCCCCTCCTCCAAGCACACCAGGCTCCGCAAAAGAACAACATCATCCTCGCTGAATCGGATAACAACGACCTCGAGGACCTCGGCGAAGAAGATGTTGAACAGCAGTGAGGATAGCACACATCCTTGTCGCACGCCCTGTGTCACGAAGAACCAGTCCGATAGTTCTCCGTCGTCCATGCGCACCCGGGCCCGCATTCCATCGTGGAATTGGCGGATGACTTCGATCAGCTTCGCGGGAATCCCGGCCCTGGCCAGCACCTTCCATAGCATCTCTCGGTCCACCGAATCAAACGGCTTGTTCAAGTCGACGAAGCACATGTAGAGCGGTATTTTCTTTCTCCGCCCCAGCTCCTGGAGGCGGCGCACGACGAACAGCATGTCGACGGTGGATCGCCCCGACTGTGCGTAATCTCGAATGGGAATATATATTAGTAGTCTCTCTGTGTTTGTGTTCCTACTCTAGACTGCTGTACTGGAGTTTTTGTTTTCTTAATATCACACAACGAATCCATCTCTATCTATACAAAAAGAAGTCTTTTTTGTTTTTCTCCCGTCATTGGACTCTGTCGTCTGCCCCTCTGGCCCCTATCCTCCACTTCTACCAGCTAGACGACCCAACCGGGGTCACATAGGAGGGGGCACCATTGGTATGCACGCATGTACGTAGTAGGTGTCTATGCTCCTGGATCTCCATGTATATCCTATATCCGTTCGACTGTGTGGGTAATCTCGAATGGGAATATTTAGTAGTAGGCTCTCTGTGTGTGTGTTCCTACTCTAGTCTATTTAGTAGACTGCTGTACTGTAGTTTTTTTTTTTCTTAATATCACACAACAAATCCATCTCTATCTATAGAAAGGAGTCTTTTTTGTTTTTCTCCCTTCATTGGACTCTGTCGTCTGCCCCTCTGGCCCCTATCCTCCACTTCTACCAGGTAGACGACCCAACCGGGGTCACATAGGAAGGGGGGGGTTGGACCCCCTCCTGCGGTTCTTGCCTGCGATATTTTTATCGCGAGAAGGGTACAACAATCCCTTCCCTTGCGACTTATGAAGTCGATCAAGTTTACTAACAACGAGCTTTGCCGCGCGTCGCTTCCAACGGAGACCATGATTTAATTAGCGAGAAAAAACTCACTCTGTCGGGGGTCGAACCCATGACCTTGCCCTTAGCAGGCTGCGAGGCTACCCACTAGACCACCGGAGTAATCTCTTCTGATTCTCCACATCGAATCGGTGCAATAAATTGTAGAGTTCAATCCCCCTGCACGCGCATTTCCAAACTTCGTGTTGGGCGGGCGTGACTCACTCGTGTCGTTTTCCGGGCAGCGGGTCCCATTAGATGGCGAGGGGGGAGGTGGAATAGTTTTTTTTTTGGAAAAAAGTACCTCTGCAGTACGCTCGTGCGTTGTTACCGTTGGCTCTCATTTATTTGTGTCACACAGACAGCAGCAGCAGCAGCCGTGTGATATATAATTCAGCGTGTTTTACAGAAAGGGGTGATGGTGTTGACCATCATCAGCAAAAGAGGGGGGTGGTATTCATCATCATCAGCAGCAGCAGGGAAAGAGGGGGGGGGGGGGGGGATGATCATCATCACTAGCTAGAGAGGGGTGGTAGTCGTGATCATCAGCTTGAGGTGGTATTCATCATCAGCAGCAAGAGAGGGGGGCTGATGTTCATCATTATCAGCCGAGGCGATGGTATTCATCATCATCAGCGAGAGAGGGCGGGTATATGTACCAGTGTTGCACTCATGCAGTCGGGGAGTACTCTCATTTGTATTCTCAGGTCCACCAAGTGGTCGAACAGGGAAACAACGCCACCACTACAAGGCGGTGCAAATGGTCCTAGTCAACGCGTCTAGCAAACTATGTAGTCGATGAACAATTCATCAAACACCCTGCCAGGGAGATGTGCCATCTTATCTGGGTTTGTGTGGGATTTGAGTCTCCTAAACCAACACGCTTCCTTGTTATGTAGAAGTATCTATATCTGCAACATCCAGCGTCAGCAGGATAGTCTAGTCCGTCTGACTGGACTAACCTGACAGTCTTCACTACTACTACTGGCTGTTCTATGTGAAGAGGAGCTTCCATCCGTGGCCTCGATGACGTTTCGCCTTTCATTATATACCTTCTTTCCGGTTTCATCAGACCTGTCCTACGGACGATCCACGTGGTTCTCCATGTGCCCCACTTCCACTGTCAGTCATCGCTCAACGTGACCACACCTTGCTAACTGCAAATAGCAATAGAGAGTTCGTAGCTCTCCATGGACTGCCGTCGCACTATATCCTATTCGCCCGAGAAGCGTTTTCGCCAACAAACAAATGCAAGCACCAAGCAAAGACCGCCCACGCCAGACTCAAGCATGTGTGCCACATCATGAAGTCCATTCAGAATAGTTTTTTTCCGTCGCAACGTTGCGGCGATACGTTTGTAACAGAGCGCGGAACGACGTCGATCAACCGCGCACGACCTGCTGCCAAATCCCGATTTCATTATATATGTTACGAGCTGCTCAAGCTTCCCCTCTACGGCTTTTTGTGTATTGCGTACAGAACAGAACGAGTCGCAGTACGCCTAACGCCCCTTGTCACCATTTGCCTGGCAATCTACATAAACCCCAAAACATCACCGCACCAGCTACACTACAAAATCGTGTTTTCGTTCCCGCCGGAAAAAAACGCACAAACAATGAAAAACATCCGTGCCTTTGCATGCCATCTCGCCGCAAAAATATGATATATATATACCTAAAAAACTACCCTGCAACGCTGGCTTGGGCCGCGCCTCATTACACTAGACTATTTATACTACGCCGCCAGCGACGAGGGAGCTACTACGAACCTGCCGGAGACGAAGGCCCCTCGCCATTCGCCTTGCGATCGGCGTAGGTCACCGAAAACCTGCCGCTGTCCCAGTCTACCCGGTACTGGCGCCGCCGGTAGTCGTCCGGCCCGCCGGGGAACCCGGGCCGGTTGTCCCCGGCGTCGTTGTAAATGGCCTCCATCACGTTCAGCACCTTCAGCAATCGCTCAAGCTCTAGCTGGTGCCGCTGCTGCGCGCCCTCCTCTGTCGCTGCGGCGGCTCCCCGCGACTGCGACGCCTCCTTGCCAGAAGCCTTCGGGATGGCACTACCCTCGTCACCACCAGCAGCACGACCGTCACGCTGAGAGGCGTGGTTTTCGGCGTAGGACCCTCGCCCCAAGACCCCCGGCCCCGACGCGATCCGCAGGAGACGCCTAAGGTACTCCCACTGCCTGCCCCCGAGCACATGCGCGCCGCGCGAGGAAGGGCCCACCCCGCCCTCCCGGAGCCTGTCTTCCTCCCCGCGGAGCCACTGCTCGCGCTCCGCGAGGGAGGGAAAGGCCGCCCGCCCGACGATGGCGGCGGCTACAGCGTTCGCTTGGAGCTCGAACAGCGGAAAGGTCACAATGCTGTTGGGGGGAGGAGGCGTAGTTTTTGGAGAGAAGGGTGAGAGAGACAGGCAGAGAAAGAGAGAGAAGTGCAAATGGGGCGGGGGCGAATCACAGACGAGCACGCAGGCACTCAAAATGTCACGCCAGCCAACAACAGCGTCACCTGTGATGCAAAGTGAACCCCCTCTGCCGGGTACCAACAAGACTAGGTTTGAGAGACAAGCTCTGCACGCCACATGAACAAATCGTTTTTACGAATACCTCGCCCTCCAGGTCCAGCACGTGCTCTCCCGGGGGGCGCCATGGATTAAACACCTCCTCGCTCAAAGCATACCCTAGCTTTACACTCACAGGCTCGAGCGTTCTACCGCACCAGATGTGCGGCAGGGCAGCACACGACGGGTGTCGGCAACGGCAGAGAAAAACTCCATCATGCTCGCTTTGTCGGACAAGAACATTCTACTTGGGGCTTGACAGACACCAAATTCGAGACTAACGGTTTGCACGTACCTCTGAGGGAGACCGATGAATGACAGGGACGGGTGGTACACGTGGAAGAGGTGCTCGAACACAGGATGCACGCGCTTCGACGCCGGCGCGGTGAGCAGCCCGGAGCCTTCCAAGAATGGGAAAGCGTAGTTGTAGCCGGTGCACCACACCACGGTGTCTACCTGCGCTTTGCAGGTTGCAGGCAGAACGCTCAGTGTGTCAAAAATGCGGGCCCGGGGGGGAACAGTATGGGCGTCTATCTTTAATGGGGACGGAAATAATGGCTCTCGCCGACACGCGGCAGTCCCATTTAGCGCTATGCCGTGTGTTGATGCTAGGCGCCTTTAACGACTGACTGCACCATCACCAAGGGCCATATAAAACGAGAATATACCGTGAAAAGAGACGGTGCCAACCCAGTGGGGTGAGCAAGACTCTCGGGCCACGAGAAACATGGCATCCCCGGGATGCGCTCAACTCAGCTTGTGAGACAAAACAAAGAACAGCCACCTCAACAAGCTCTCCATTCTTGAACCGCACTCCGTTGGCACCCTCGAACTTCTCCAGCGCCGTCCGCCACCAAACGTTGCCTCTTTCTCCGCCCTTGGAGGTGACAGGATTGCTCCTGTCGCACACGTGGACCGCGTGCGCTGGCACAGCATGGGACAACAACAACCCCCCACGACGGAATGCGCACGCGTGAGCATGACGAGCACAAAAGCTGTGTAAGGAAGGTACGACGTTGTGCGGGTGAGACGGGGGTTATGCGGACGTGCGGCGAGACAAGCGACGTCAGTACATCAACCTCAACAACAACACGCGGCGCAACAAAAACTTGCAAGAATGTGTAGCACTGCTGCATCACGCGAACGGTGTTTCCAGCGGGAGGAGGACAAGCCTGAGAGCCCATGATCTTCGTCTCCTTTGTACACTGCCAGAGCTCTTGCGAAATGAGAAAACTGGTGTTCTTCTAGGAGATAGATTCAGCCTTACCGACGGAGGAGACCTCGCGAGCGATGTCCGTCCCGCTAGACCTAGCGCCGACGCACAGCACCCTCTTCCCCACGAACGCCTCAACGCCCGGTATGTCGTACTCCCTGGCGTGCATGACCGTCCCCTGGAACTCGTCCAGCCCCGCAACCGTCGGTGTGTACGTCTCGTCGAAGTGCCCGCTGCAAACGCACACGGCATCAAACACCTCCGCCACGATCTGGTCATCATCATCAGCAACGGCAGCCGCAGCAGGAGCGCTTCTTCGCCGGTACACCACCTCCCACCTCCCGAGCGTTGTGCTCTCCACCCCCGTGCTTGATTGCCCTTGGTCGATTCCGCCCCCGTAACGGTCTGCAGCAGTAGCAGTGACGGTCCCCGTCGCCGCTTCTTCCGATGAGTCTTCGCTGCTACTCAGACGGCCGTTAACGCTGCCAAATGCGTGCGAGGAATCCCCGGCGGAGGGAAGACTAGCTAGGCGGACGGATTCGACGGAGCATCCGAGGCTGATGAGGGGATGCAGGTTGTGTTCGTCCGCGTAGGAGCAGAGGTAGTCCAGCACCTGGGCGTGAGTGGTGAAGGATTGGTTTTCTTCTGGGAAGGGGAACCCGAAGTAGGACATGGTCTCTTTCGGCAGATTTGTCACCAGGCTCCGGTCTAAAACCTCAGTCGTATGGAGTCAAGGGAGAGAGGGGGTGGGAGACACACAGATAC